GGTATGTAACTAATATAAAAATGATTAATGCAATATTTTAACTTCTTTTCATACTAGGGCTTCAAAATCTGATGTGTATTTTACACTTACTGCTCATCTCAATCCAAACCAGCCACACTTCAAGCGCTCAATAGTCGCATGTGGCCAGTGGCTATCATATTAGATAGCATGATCTTAAATTAATAACTGTTCAAGTAATTGAAAGATTTTGGCTCAATATAGGATCACGATTTCTAAAAAAAAAAAAAAAAAAAAAAATAAGAAAACCAATTCAAAAAAAAAAAAAAAAAAAAAAAAAAAAATGGAACAAGCTGACTTACAAAAGGGGGAGAGCCCAGTCTCTGCAGGGCTGTAGCGGGGTCTACACAGCCTGTGTGGTGTGCTGTAGAGGAGACCGCAGTATTGAGTGCTTCCTGTGTGCCACTGTGACACTGTGTGTGTGACACTGTGGCAACTTTGCAAAACTAACTCATTGAATCCCCTCCAGCCACTCAGGGGAAGTGGCTACTATTACCATCTCCATTTACAGATGAGAAAACTGAGAGGCACAGGGTAGTTAAGTAACTATTCGAGATTACATAGCTAGTTAAGTGGCAGAGCCAGGATTCGAACTCAGGCTGTTTGATCCAAGCTCACATTCCTAGCCGCTCAACTCTGCTGCTTCTCCATGTATTTATTTTTAAAATATGAGCATCAGTCATAAGGCAACATTGTTTTAACTATTTCTCTCTTAATCTAGGGGGTAGGAAAGACATAGAGAAATAAAACTCCAGAGAGCCAGCCCCTTTGCAAACAGAACAGCTCCATGTTATACATTAAAGTCTCGCCTAAGATTTTATTTGGGGAAAAGGAAAAGGGTGAAATCCATGGATCCAAATATGTTGTAACTGTATTATCAGAATTCTAACTTTCTGAGCCTTCTATATCTCTTAAATCTCTTCCTTAATAGAGCTTCTGGCCAGAAACTCATACCTTAAAACAAAAGATTTTTTTCCTAAGGAGTTACTTTTATTTCCTCTTGCCGGGATTATTATGTCCACCTAACTAGCATCTCCCTCCGTTCCTCCCATCACCCCAATCCCTATTCTTTTTCTACTCTTTGGTTCTCTCCCTAAAACGTGAGGTGATAATCGTGTCATGCCCTATCTTGAAATCCTCTCGCGGCTTTCCATCTCACGGCAGTGTTTTTATTCCCCAAACAATTCAAAAGAGTATTTAAGAGAAGACTAAAATAATTGTGCAACACTGGGTCCAATACAATTTTTTTTAATCTATATAATTTATGAGTGTGTTTCCCAGAGCATTTCCCGCGGCCCCTTTTCTGCCACTACACATCCCTGGGGATTAGAACAGCGGTGTCAGCCTGCCTGGGTTTGAGCCAGCCCGGTCATGTGATCCCACATCCATAAAATGGGGACGGCAAGAGCGGCCACCTTAAAGATGTGTGACGAGAATTAAATGAGTTGACAGGCGGAAGGTGCTCAGCAAGACAGGCAGTACATTAAAAGGTGGTGATTGTTTTAATTATTTTTGTGACACATTTTAGGAACAAAGTCCTACAGGATCTGGTTAAAATTCCCCAGCCAGATATCTTAAACCCTTCAAAAGCTGACTCCCACCAGCCCTTCCACACCCCTACCCCCCACCCCACCCCAGCCAGGACCCCTCCACACACAAAGGAAGCAGCGCACATGAACCCTGCCCTTCCCTGAAAATTCCACGTTCCTTCCTGTTTCTGTACCTCGGCATGGGTTGTTCCCTTTGCTTTGTTGCTTGTTTGTCCTAGTCTCCAAACTCTAGGGCTTCTGGGAGCAGGGACCCTATTACATTCGGCTTCCCAAGGCTTGACTATGTTTGCTTAACCAGATGAACCAGGCCTGGCTCTCTGGATGCCATGTGAAATGGCAAGAGATCGATGCATTCCAGACCAGACAGGACCCTCAAAAAGTTTACCGGATGGATAGATGTCATTATATATTTGTCAAAAACCACAGGATGCACAAAACCAAGAGTGAACCATAATGTAAACTACGGGCTTTGGGTGACAACGATGTATTAACATGGGTTCATCAGCAGTAACAAATGCTCCGCTCCGGGGCTGGATGCCAACGCCGAAGGAGGGTATGTATGGTAGTGGGTGGGGGCGGGAGGTATATGGAAGCCACCGCTTTCCACTCAGTTTTGTTTTAAACCTAAAACTGCTTTGAAAAATAAAATTATTTTTAAACTATCAAATAACATTAAGTGGCAAAACGCAAATTGTAATTAACGTAGAATGTACGTTAAAGTTAATTTTCCTTCCTCATATAAAGCTATTATGAAGTCTGGGATACACCTAGAAAACTAAAAAAAAAAAAATGAAAAAGACCAAACATTTTGTTATATTTTAGATGGATTTCCACCTTCTCCTCTAAAGCACCATCAGCTCTACTTGGAAAATGACTCCACCTCCAAGCGAAGCAGACCCTGTGTTCGCCCTCCCACTTCTGCCTCTGTCTGGGTGGAGCAGGCATTCCTCTTCAGGGCGTGGATGCACAAAAGAAGAACCAAGGGTTAGATTGATCTGTCTCACCCTTTAGTTCAGAAGTAGCTATAGGATTGCTTCATAAAAGGCAATACCTTCAACATCATCTGTCGCAGAACAAAAGCGTGCAATTAAAAAAGAAAGCGACTTGTTCTAATGCGGAGGCACCTGTTTGGGGCACATCGAAATAAAGCCAGCATGACACACACCCCACCTTAGCATTAGAAGCTCAATCTCGCTGCAACACGCACTTGACAGCACAATCTGGACCTCACTGCTTTATCCTTTACGACAACTGTTTGGGGATAATCCAGGGTTGACCTTTGCCCTTACACTGCTAGAAATAATGGTCTGCTGAGAGTAATTATTACCATACACACCTTGCACCTTACACAGTAGCTCTACCTGGTGACATGCAGAGATGGCTTCTCAGCCCCCAAGAATGGTGCCTACTC